CTGCTCAGCGCGCCCCGCCCCGCCCCGGTGAGTGACACCAGCGCGAGGGGGGGGCAGGTCCATTGCTGCCCGCGAGGTTCCTGAAAGGCCCGGTGCGCATGGGGGCGCCTGGGCAGCAGCCGGCTGCCTGCAGACTCGGAGAGCTCGCTGGCCTGGCGCGCAGCTCTCCCAGGGCTGGAAACGCGCCCGCTCGTTTTCATGCCTTGGTAGCCCGATGCCTCCATTTACCAGGGAAGGTTGCTCCTTGCGGCTGGCCAGTGGATTTTAACTCCAGAGTGGGATGGCAGCAATAGTGACTCCAAGGCAGTGTCACCGAAATGCAGTCGGGGGGACCTGCCTTTACGAAAGAGGACAGAGGTCACAGACAAGAGCACAACCCACTGCTCTGAGTGCCGCCTTGGCTGTGTCTAGACTGGCCAAGTTTTCCGGAAAAAAGCCGCCTTTCCGGGAAAAGTGTCTAGATTGGCCACGGACGCTTTTCCGCAAAAAGTGTTTTTGCGGAAAAGCGTCCGTGCCAATCTAGATGCTCTGTTCCAAAAATGCTTTTAACAGAAAACTTTTCTGTTAAAAGCATTTCTGGAAAATCATGCCAGTCTAGATGTAACCCTAGAGACAATCTGTGGACATCCCAGCTCCCAGCATGCATTGCTCCATCTCAATCCAAGGCCACGGACGCTTTTCCGCAAAAAGTGTTTTTGCGGAAAAGCGTCCGTGCCAATCTAGATGCTCTGTTCCAAAAATGCTTTTAACAGAAAACTTTTCTGTTAAAAGCATTTCTGGAAAATCATGCCAGTCTAGATGTAACCCTAGAGACAATCTGTGGACATCCCAGCTCCCAGCATGCATTGCTCCATCTCAATCCAAGCACCTGCTGTGCTCCTTGAAGGACCTGCAGCTGTAGTACTTGAAGCCCACAGCCCTGTTTCAGGGGTTATGTGAATCAAGATGGAGCTGAGCAGGGCCTGCTGCTGCTGGCGGCTGCATGTGCTTGCTTCGAGGAGCCTTGCGTGATGGGACCTGCAGTCTTTTCAGTCCATGTCTCTATACTACTGGACCAATCAAATCAAGAAACAGTGTTGCATGCTCGGATCTGGAGTATCTATGGCATGGGTGGAGTTCCTTTTTTGGGTCAGAGGCCACTGACCCACAGAAAAATCAGTCGGGACCGCACACAAGTGAGAAGCAAAAACAAATAAACAAACCCTCACTGATCTGGCCCCTGATTGAGAAGGAAAAAGACACTCCCCATATTCCCCTTCCAAAGCCTAGGGGGGTTCAGCCTACTAGACTCCTCTAGCAGCTGGGGGAATAGAGAACCAGCGCAGGTTCCCCAATGTTGTGGGGCCCCCTGAGCCTCAGGGGCTGAATCCAGGCAAGCCGGAATGTGTGTGTGTGGGGGGGAGACCCAGGCCTGAGGTTCCCCACCCCTGTTCTATGGGCTATTCCTATTCCTGTCAAAACAGGGCTGATTATGTACAAATTTAGTGTGACCTTCCTGATCCTGGCAAGGTGCCCGTGGGGCTTCCAATTAGATGTTTTCTTTATAGATAGTCCAAAAATTGCATCATTTAATGTGAGAGGAAGGATACTCTGGGGTTTAGGCACAGCAGAAGATGTGTCCCAGCTCTTCTTCTGGCTTGTCATTTGACTTGATTTACTTACCCACCACACTAACAAGCAATCCAGAAGGATAGGCAGATGGGAAAATCATTGACTCTCTTTGGGCCTAAATGTACTTTCATAAACCAGAGATAATCACATTTACCCACCATGAAGGAGTATTATTCAAGGCTTAATTACTTTAATGTCTTTACAGCAATTTATGGTTTTCCCAAGGAAGCAAAGGGGTGGAAAACATACCATGTAGAGATTGCAAAATAATTCCATTTCACAAAGCTCCCATTGACCATGAAAGTGAATCAGGAAATTTTAACTCTCCCTTTCTTTAGGTGAGGCTCAACTATATATGAGTGCTGTACTAAACAATTCTCCAGTATGTGAAGGTGAAGACGGAATGACTTTTATAAACTAAATAACTGGAGCAAGAGGACTGTTGGAAGCCAGGAAATGGTAAGGCTAAAGTAAACACCACTGGATAGCAGTCTCATGTCATCTAGAACAGGATCACTTTGGTTTCATTCATGTGGCATACTCAAATGAATATGATCTTGTGTGTTGGTAGGGCTTGTTAGTAAATCCTCTTCTACAGTAATCTACCCACTGCAGACTCCATTGTGAAGGATTTCTAGTGTTGTCTGGGGTTGTACAGAGGAGTCTTACTTCCTAGATGGGCAACCCAGAGTTCACGGTGGGAATTGTGATGTGACAGATGTGGGATGAATGTGGCCCATGAGTTCTCTGAACTTCAGTTCTGTGATGCAAAGAATTAACATCTTGCATTAAAAGTACAGGTTAGATGACAACTCTTGCTTTTAGTGCTTTTATTCTTGTAACAATGGAAACTTTTTTTTTTTTGGTTAGGCTGCACTACCCAAGAAAGGTTTAAAAGGTATGTGTACTTGTGTATTTCTCATGACACTACACTTTGGGCTGTTTAAAAGAGGTGGGGTGGAAATATCCAACTCTGAGGTGTCAGTGACACGTTCACAGTTATGCTACTGGCTTTGGGATCCTTGTTTCCAAGATATGAATGTGCAATGTATTAGCAGGGCTCAACAAACTGCGGCGGGAGCTCCTCGCCAGCCCCGCACCGCGCATGCGCCAGACCGGTACTGCTCATGCGCACAGTGCCGGTGAATGGGGCACACAGAGTGACTGGCTGAAATCTACTCATCACGGGCGAGTAGAAACAGCGGTTTGTCGAGGCCTGTGTATTAGTATTGCTTGTGTTAGGTCATTGCTGAATCAGCAGTGAGATTCAGCTGCCTCTTAAATCAGGCACCCTCTCTCATATATAGGGGCATGTTTCCCCTCCCTTGAGAGGGAAAGAACAGGTTGAAGTTGATAATTCCCCATCAGCTTCAGTTCCTTGTTAATATGTCCAAGTTCATCTCCCACCATTGTATGCTGCCACAGGGTACAGAACAGCTTCTGGTTTTCTGAGTCATATTTTAGAATGAAAGCCTCATTAGATTACTTTAATCTCTGCATGTGTCCAGCAACTGAATAATTGGGGGTTAGGGGATCTTGCAAATCCAATAAAGAAAGAAATCCCTTACATTGCCCAAGTGAGAGCAAACTTCTCTATTGAGAGCCCCATCTGGGCCAAGCTCTTTCACGTTCTCAGGGTAATGGCTGAAAATCTGGCCTCATTGAAGTCTCTGGGAATTTTGCCATTGATTTCAATGGGACCAACTTTTCATCCATCATCTTTAGGCTGACTAGGAGGCCCCAGGATCTTATGCTGATGATGTGTATGACCAAACTTTTTTCCTTGCGTTTGGAGGCTTTTGGATAGACCAGGGGTCGGCAACATTTCAGAAGTGGTGTGCCAAGTTTTAACTTTCCCCATCCCACTCAGTGCAAGCCCTACTTCCTCCCATTTTGCCCCGGCATCTTCCTTCACTGTCCTGCTGCCCCAACATACCTGTGCCCCCAGCGTACACACTGGCAGGACAGCAGCGCTGGGACTCTCAGATCTGCAGGAGCAGCTTTGGGGTGCGGAGGGACCGGGGGGCAGAGTCACTTCCCTGCCAAGCCCAGCCCTTTTGCTCTCCCCTCACCTGCAGGCTGCAGCTCCAGGGCTGCACCTGGCCTGGGGCTGGAGGCAGAAGGGTGCTGGGGAAGGGTCTCCCTGCCTGCGGCTTAACCTGGGCCCTGGCACCCCATGAAGACGGCAGCAGCAAATGACTGGCTGTGCCACCTTGATCTGCAGATCAGCCCCAGTCCCACCCCCTGGAGCAGGAGGCAGAGCTTACAGTAGGAGTAAGGGGGGGGGATAACCCCTTAGCTCCCAGGAACTGCACGCCCCAGGGATGCGGCGCCAAGAGCAGGGTCATGCTTCCCATTCCACTTGTTGGGCCACACTGCCTGGCCCCTCTGCCATGCTGCATGTACCACAAAAAGTCATTTTGTGTGCCACTTATGGCACGCGTGTCGTATGTTAGCCCAGGTGCTATCTGAATGTACAAACAACGGCTTTTTTACCCACATGTTGCCCAACTCCCCTGATGGGAAGGCCTTGCTCTGTTTTCTTCTAGGTTCCATCCATGACGTGTTCAGTGACCTCTTGGGAGACGACGGTAAATGCTCTTTCACTAACATCGAAAAATAAGCTTTTTCCCATGTGAATGCAGAGCTGGTGAGAAGTGCTGGCTTGGCATCCTCAGAGAATGAAGCCTTCTCTTTACCTGTAGAGAAGCTACAGCGTTGGCTGTGGCAGCACAAGCTTTCCCTGCCATGGTGAATCAACCCTGTCCTCTCGGGACCCCCTCCAAGAGCGAAAAGGACGTGCAGTTTCCACGCAATCCATTCAGTACTTGGCTTCTCAGCTGACATGGATGTCGGGGCGAGGGCAATAGCGATGGGGTGGTATTTGATCCACAGCTTTTGGATCCAAGCTGGAGCAAGTTCCATATTCTCCATTTCTTCTAGATGAAATCCCCATTAAATCCAACAAGCCTTCCCAGCTCTCTGGGGGCAGCGGAGGGAGATCCAGGGAAATCGTCTCCAGGACCAGCAAAAAGTGAGTAGGTCTGAATCACCCAATTTAGAGACTGAAGAGGGAGACCTTGCTAGTTGCTGGTATTCATGCACCCCAGGAAATCCTCAGCCATGAACTGTGTTTCTCTTCTTGGTACTAGCCATGTATTTTTGGACATTACAATTATTGCTTTAGGGGGAGATTTTTCCAAAGCACAACTAGGAGTTTGGTGCCCATATCCCATTGGCTTTCAAATCTCCATCCCTCTTATAGGTACATTCTGCCCTCAGTTACACTGGTACCAGCCTAGTGAAATAAGAGGACCCCATTTAAGAAGGTTATGCAGGTATTACTGAAGACAGTGCCTAGCTCAGTCTGAAGAAATAGCCATCCTAGCACTAGCATAACTATGTAATCTCCTTGAGTAAGGGTCAGAATAACACCCTTACTGCAGGGACATCTCCCAGTCTTCTCCAACTGAGAGCAAGACATGTTCCACCCTTGGACTGCAGACAGCCTCCCACCTGGCCTCCTTTCTTGGGAAATTGTACGGCAAGTAGCAGTGTAGTTCCTAATCCTCCTGCTTCTGTGTCAGGTCCATTTTGGAATGTGGTGTCTTCAGCAAGATGGCTGCTGAGGAAGATGCAGGAGCAGAGGTAAACTAAGGCCTGGGTGGGCTGAGGTGGATTATGTGAGTCAGGAGAGGTTCCTACTGATCACACAGAAATTCAGCCCTGCTGTAATTTCACTGAAGCCAGCAGAGATTCATTTAATTCTAACAGTCTCATAGATGGAAGATCTTATTTGGATGTCCCTCTAGTAAAGGTTCCCAAACTTTTCGGCATCATGCCTCCTTTTTGATTTTTGAAAAGCCCTCGCCTCCCTGCCCCCAAAAATAGTAGCAAAACTTGTTGACCAAAAAAAAAAAGGAACTGACCAGGGCAGCAAAACTTGATGGGGGCAGGGGCTGGGTCGCCTCGTGCTCCCCCTGGAATTTCTTCACACAGACACACACACACACCCCGGGGGGGCACGCCCCCCTGCTGGGAACCCATGTAGCGTAGTTGTTGTAAAATGGATGCTTGCATAGATGGTGAGAGAATGAGAAGAAAACATCCTAGTTGGTGCAGAGCATTGGTGAGGAGACTTATTTTGTTTGCTGGGTGTTAATTGCAATACCATCAATGTTTCTCTTTCTGGTGATAAAGCAAAAATCAAGACTTTCTTCCTAGAATAGTGGCACTTCCACCAATCACAGCCAGATTTCAGCTAGAAAGCAAAGTTCCTTGGTTGAAGGGTTTTTCAAACAGACATTTTCCCAGTGGATTGAAAAATACCCACGCCTGAGAAGACATCCAAAGCATTTTACAAACAGGACTGAAATAGGCCTCATAGCACTGTGAAGAACTGTGTGTGATTTTTGCCCCTGTGTGACACATGAGGAAAGCTCAGGTGCAGAGAGATTAAGTGACTGGCCCAGGATCACAGGGAATCAGTGACAGAGTGAGGAATGGAACGCAGAAGTCATGACTCCTGGGGTCCTGATCTAGTCTCTGGTCGTTTATATGAGATGCAAACAGGAGGGCGTGTTTGATTTACTTGCTGGGTCGTTTCCCTTTGGACAAGATATAGAATAAATGGCATTTAACAAAGTGTGTCAAGGCAATTGACAATGTGTAAGCAAAATAAAAACATGCCTTTTCTGTGCATTGGGCTTTCTTGAGCCTCCTCTGATGCTACATGCTTCTGCCTGCATGCTACTGTAATCTCATTTCTCCTTACTGTGCATGCAGGGATCTGACCTCTCAGATGTAGACCCACAAGCTTTGCTGGAGACCCTGAAGGTAAGCGAATGAAATATCACTAGTCTCTGAAGTGCACTGACTGAGGCTGTGACATGCTAGAACTAACCTCAGACTTGTCTTTCTTGGGATATGTCTACACTGCAGTGAAAGGGGAGACTGTAGCACATGTAGATGTACCCAGGCTAGCTCTAATCTAGCTAGCTAACAGCTTGTGTACATACATTGAAACCCAGAAAGGCTTATACAGTCCTTGCTGCTACCTGTGCCCCCACCACTTCACTGTTCTTGTTACGCATGCTGGCTGGGTCAAAGCTAACTTGGGTGTGAGTGTCTATGCTGTAGTCACATCTCTGATTGCTGGATAGACCTGCCCTTGGTCTGGATCCTGGTTTCTTTTAACCAGTGTTTAACTGTAACCTCTTCCTCCAATAGCTTTTCTTCACAGAAACCCATGCTGAGTCCTCGTTTGCTATGAGCTCTTGAGACGTGGCAATGAACTTTGTGTATGCAAAAGGCTTATAGCATCAGGCCTCAGTTTATCTTTTTCCCCTTTAAAAATTTCCAAGCCACACCTAGTTAAAAACCTTCCCACTGGCAAGTATTGGAAAATAGGGAGGCCAGGACATTTCCTGGAGTTGACATATGCTTTGCCACTCCCTGTAGCCACCCACGGTGAACAGTGCAGGTTGGGCAGGTATAGGACCCTGAACTGGAGGTCTGCTCCCTATGCTTCCCTGGTAAGTGATTAGTCTAGAGCTGGATTGAGAGCCAGGTTTGGGATGAAGGGCCACTGGCTATGGTGTAGGTAAATCCTTCTAGAGCAGCCAACTTGGCCCAGAGAACACCAGGCCAGGCCAGCAGATAAGAGAGGTTTCCGCCCATTTTTAGTTTATGTGTCCATGTTCACGTGTTCAGGACTATCATGTCAAAACAAAACTCTCTCTGCATGCTCTGCTGTCTGAGCGCTAGGGCATCAACTCGGTTCACATGCTGCCATGTATGTTCTTTTCCAGGATATGGATGACATGGAGGCTGATCTCCTAGGCATAAAGAAGTCGAGCTCTGGGGCTGGGAAGACAACAGCAAAGGGATCAGAGAAACTTGACTCCCAAGGAGTCCAAGCAAAACCTGCAGGGAAACTAACAACTGCTGAGAGAGGTGTGTGATGGGCTAGCCCTCTGCTAGTGCTTCCTTTATACTCAGCCTGACTCATTTTAAAAGGACTTTGAATAAAGCTTTTGCATTCTGGGGCTTTAAATAGTTGATTCTAGGATATGCTCAGGAACAGGGACTTTCCTATGACCAAAGCTGGATTTTTGTCTGTTTTACACCGGCACCGAGGCCTTAAAATATGATCAGTGGCTCATATTTGTGAACATTTAAAATATAGTTTTGGGATGTGTTTGTACAGTGCCTACCATGGGGGATGGGTGCCTGGGCCATGGCTGCTCAGCAATGTTATAACAAAAAAGTGACAATTCCCTACCTAGACCCTTCCTGTGCTGCTCACTTACATACCATGAAACTGGGGGCACCCAAACTTTGCCCAGCCAAAGGCCATGCAGTCTTCTGTCCAGAGGCTTCCTGTCCTGCACCTTATTCTCATGACACTGCAGCTGTTATCCTCTTCAGAAGCCAGTGCGACTCCATGTGAACATGTCCTAGTAGAGTAGGCCGTTCTCTCTGATCCAATCAGACAGGCTGCCCAGGTGGAATGGAGCACGGCTCTCTGGGACCTGTAGACCGTGGCACTGTACACGTGCATTCATGATGAAAGTGGCTCTTTATCACATTGTAGCACCACAGGTGGCATTAGCCAGGCCTGGAACCACTCCTCATAAAGCTACATGGACAGTGATATCCAGCCTCTTATGGCTGGGCTGCTCCCAAACAGAGTCTGTTTCAAATTGATGTGACATGGGTCCCCTTCGAGCAGTATGGCTGCTGACTACTGTAGAAGAGAGTGGGAAGCATGAATTATAATGAGAGACAAACTGGAGTTGCAGAATTCAGACCCATAGTAAAATGTTACCCAAATTGGTGGCCAGGTTTTTGGCCTCACTGGTTATAAAGGGGCCATTTACAAAGTAAGGATCAGGATCAGAACCCCACCAGAGGGGAGATTTTGGTGGGAGGAGCAGTCTCCTAAGCTGTTCCAAGCCTTGAACTGTACCTTAATGTATGTGCTCTCAGGTTGCTGCAGAGAGTAAAATAGGTTCCCCGGCTGGAAATGTTAACCCTGTATTGATTCTGGATAGATTATTTTTGCCATATGGGGGTGAGCATGGAAAGTACAAGGGTTTTGCCTGTCTGTCTTCAAACTGTCCGTGTGATGGATTTTGTAGGGGAATCTGCCACTGGAAATGAAAAGAAACCTCTCTCCACACCCACCACCCTGCAGCGGCAGTACAGGAAGTTTTCTTTCAAAGGTAGGACTTGGGTGGATACACTTATGCACACTCAGCTCTCACTGCTTAAATCTTGAATGGGAAACTAGTAGATCTTCATCTCCTTTAAGGATAAGTTTGCTGGAAAAGTTGATGGGTAATATGGTGCAGACCTTTCACGTCTAGATCACCAGTCTAAACCTCCTCCAGCTCAAAGTATCGCAAGGGGGACCTGTGTGGAATGAGTTGCTGATCTTCTGCTGTGGGTTCTAATGCATCTATAGCACAAAAATAATAACCAGGACTGGTAATCTGATCTGGTAGAGAATCCAAGGACCACATGAGCCATGAACACCGAGTACCTCCTTGTGCCCGATCATGTTCTATACAGGTCAGAGTTGAGGCAAAATGGGGCAATGTGGGAATCCAAAACAGCTGTGCATGTCCTCGAGGCACCACTCTCCAGCATTAAAATCTTGCTGCCAAATGTTTCTGAGGGAGAACATATGGTGGAAAATACCCTACAACTGTTTGCCATGGTAACACACACACAAAAACATGCCATAGAGATAAAGGAATGTGGGGGTGTGACTTTGAATTCAGTTCTTTCTTCTTCCTTTTACTTTCTTCTCTTCCATTTCTCTTTACTCAACTGGTGACAAAGATGAGCCTAAAAAGCAACCACATAGGAGAATAGGAATTCTGGTTTTAAAAAAATCCTGTAGTGGGGTGTGTGGGTGGGTTCTGGTCTTCGGATAGGACTCCTGAGTGTGCTGTATTTAGGGTTATATTGTCACATGCCTTTTTAAATGGTGACCTCTATAACACACTGAGTAATTTGTATAGAAAGTTTTACAGAAGTATAGTGCTTGATGAGCATTGATCGTTTAAACTCCCCTTCCCCAAGTTAGACTGATATTATACCAGATGTATTGACAGTGAAACTGAGGTATAGAAGCCTAAGCTCACAGTCCTGGAAATAGAATCCACATCTTCTGGTTTTCTAGTCCCATTCTTTAACCAGGAGCCTATGCTCCCTGTTCTAGGGTCTACTGAAATCAGTGGAAAGAATCCCAGTGACTTCACTGGGCTTTGGATCAGACCAATAGACAGCTGTCTGTGGCTCTGAGATAGTGTGAGAATTGGTCATCTCATTGCATTTTAATACCTGGACAGTGCAAGTGCTAGGAGAGGACCTGATCTTAAGCGATGTCAACCCTATAAATGATCCCTTATGGGAAAAACACTGGATAGAAAATCATGAATATGTACAAATTTAGACACTGGAGGTTACCCAAATCCAGAGAGATTCAAGTGTAAATGGTTCCTGGCAGAATCTGTATTCACAGCTCTGTTTTATCTCCAATGGAAGCTGCCATCCAAAGAATAGGCATTTTTAGAACATCCAAATTCTCATGGCATCAACAGTGAGGTCATAGGAAAGATCCAAGATTGTATGGCAAAAATAGTCTAAACTGTCTTTCCCAATGAAAATATAGCTCAACCTGCAACTCCAGGTATCCCTATGAGGAATTTGCTCTTAAGCACCAATACAAACACAAAGATTCACTGAATATTGCCAGTGACTCCCAACAGGAGCAAGATCTGGCTCATACAGAACCCCCAGTTAGAGATGATGGTCTTGATATTTAGCTCTTAACAGATTGTCTTCTTGGAGCTGGACTGTTTCCAAATCCCAATTGTTGTTTCCCCTTTTATTCCCCTGGGCTGATTGCTAGATTTAGATGATCCTTTGGCAGGGCTTTTATCTGATGAGGAGGAAGATGCTGCTAAGAAGTTGCCTTCAACAGGCACCAAAAGTAGCCCTGAAAGACATACTGGACCAGCCAAAGAGAAAGGTATGTGGTCATGCTAGAATTATACTCCCTGAACTGAACATGTTTCGGGCTGTTCTGTTGTTTGCTTCAGTAGTGTGAACATTCTGCTTTCCCCACCTCTTTCATCAATGATGTGTCAGTTGTATTGGGACTCCTGGCTATCAGGCATTCTCACTGTCAACAGTGCAGACACTGGAATAATGACCTGACCTTTTGCCTCTGTGGACTTGGGACTAATTTCTAACTTTAGTCTCATCCCAGTGGATTTTTAATCAAGGAATATTTGGTACCTCTGAGGTGGCTCAGGACAGGTCAATCCTGGAGGTAGAATGGTTGGACCAGAGGGGAACATCCAAAACTTGGATAGCGGGAATGCTGCAATTCAGGGCTGAGATGAGAGAGTGGAACCAAAGTCTGGAAAAGCCAGGACTGCTGCAGGTCTGAGATGAGTGGGCAGAGCTGGGAGCAGACTGGGTTAGCAGGAGTCCTGCAGAGCAGGGTAGAGAGCCTGTAATATCCCCAGTGCTAACGAGTGCTAAAAAATCTCTCCTTGTTAATGGTCACCAAATTCATCAAACGATGCAATTAAAAATACAGCGTGTGTGCAGCAAAGCAGCGCAGTGATGCTTTGTTGCTTCCCATGCTTTGAAGTTTGGCTGCAAAAGAACCATTTACAGGTGATTGTGTGAAAGATCCTGATGGGTACCATACATTGTTTAAACTAGTGCTGTAAAGTGAGTGGTCTCTGCTAAGGAAAATCTTCATTCTATTCACAGGGATGTCTCTCTCGTCGGCCCCTGGCCACACTGTCACCCCCATGCGGAGGAGGGAAGAGTTGACATTTGAAGATGATGGGGATGACCTGATGGATGCGCTGGGGTTTGGACAGAGTCCGAGGGGCGAGCTGAAGCAAGAGAGGAAGGGAGAGGAGTAAGGAGTTGCTAGGAAATAAAAGGTTGCAGAAATAAAGTACAGAATGACTCATGAGATAGTCTCACTGGATTTCAGTCATTAAGTGCCTTGGATTGAGAAGAAGCAGAAGAGGATTACAAGTCCTCTGTTACTCTACATCTGTATGACCATGGAAGGCATGAATCACCTGAGCTGAATCACTGCTGTGACTATTCTATATCACTAGAATGGTCTCAAAGGCTGGGTCTGCTCTTAAAAATTAGATCGACCTAGCAGTGTCACTCAGGGCTGTGAAGAATTTTGCCCTGAGCACTGTGGTTAGGTTGACCTAACCCCTCCTAGACCTAGACCTAGTTACTGCCTTTTAAGCTACTTTAATGGCAAATCCCTTCCCCCAGTGTAGGAAGCATCTGTGCTCAAGCAATGTAGTGACAGCACTACAAGTGCCGTTGTGGCTCTTGTCATGCAGATGTGACCAAAGCCCTCGACAAAGTGGGACTGGACAAGGAGGGGCACAGTACAGAAGTTCTGATCAGTCCCACAGTGTAGCTGGACAGATCTACTAAAACAATCAGTGATGAAACTTTAACTTTGATCCCATTTCAACTGTGGTGATCGTTAATTATTTGCTTTGCGATCGCGCCTGGGAACCTCACTCCTGATGGCCTCGAATCCCACTGTGCCAGCACAGAAGGATAGTCCCTGCCCCAAAGAACTTCTGGTATAAGTAATACCCTGTGGAGATGCGCAGGAGCAGTTTTTACCCTTTAGAGCCATTGTTTAGGCAAGCTGGGTGCGGAGTCATTCAGGCTGTCTTGCAATGGGTCAGCCTTGGAAATATTTCCTTGCAACTATAAGGGCTATATAGGTATTCAAAAAATCAGAAGCAGATCAGATTTGTACAGAGAAGTGCTAGAGAGTCATGCCAGCTGCTCCCACACCAGCTCCTGAGTGAGCCTTGTTTGCCTGCAGAGAGAGACAGACAGCCCTTCAGTGATTTCCACCCCTGGACTAGTGACTTGTAACTCTTTCTGCTCTCTGGCAGGCAAGAGCCCCGCCCTGCCCGCACCAAGCTGGATGAGTTGTTGGGAAGTGGGACCACAGCCAAACTCTTGGAGCGACCGGCCACAGGAGAACGCAAGGAGTTCAAACTGGATAAAAAGTACCAACAACAGACCAGTGAGTAAGACCAGAAGCTCTTGCTGGTTTAGCAACATTGTGGGGGATGACAAGTTTTTTGCAACATTGCTATACTGGTAGAAGCCCTAGTATAGACATAGCTATGCCAGCATAAAAGGGAAAACAGTATGAGCTATTCCAGTAAAAGCACTTTCATGAATGTATGTTTGCATTCACACTGGGAGGGTGTGACCTTCCCAGAGTGCAATCCAATGAATAGCTGTGTCACTCCTACGCTCTTACCTGGAGTGCTTGTCATATTGCTTTGCTGCTCTTGCCTCCAGTCTGGAGTGCTCATCGGCATGTAAGTTCCTCCCAGCTATGTCTGTGAGCTGCAGCCAGACAGCCGCACCTTGACTCATATCAGGCTTGGGTGTAGTACAGGGTGATCTCAAGTCTCCTAGTCTTCAATTTTGCCCCAGAAATGTATGTCCTATGCTGCCAGCCATCTCCTGAACAATATAAGTTAGTTAAGATTTTGAATAATAAGCTGGGGTATTATCTTTTAGTTCTTCTGTCACTTCTATTTAAACACGCTGGCTTAGATTAAACAGTAAAACAAATGTATTATTAACTACCGAGAGAGATTTTAAGTGAATACAAGTCATGAGCCATAACATTCAGAAATGAAAAATAAAGATAAAATGGGATGAGTACCTAACTGAACAGCCTATGTTAAATTTAAAACAAAGTGTTTCTCACCGCATGCTCGCAACAGTCTTATTAGCCAAACTTCTTAGGTCAGCACCTCTTCTTTTGTTTAAGGGCTGCTTCCTTTGTCCCTTCTCGTGTGATGAACTTATGAACAGAGAGGAGAGGGTACCTGTGGATGCTTTTTCTTTCTTTCATAGCGTCAGTCCCCCTCTTAGAAAACATTTCCAGCTGAGAGTCAGTGTTTATCTGTAAGGATACTCCCTACTGGTTTTCCCCACTTGTTTGAATTCCCTTTGTCTCTCTTCCTGCTTGATGCCTGTTTACTGCCTAAATGCTAACCTCAGTTTGGAAATGTGTTAATACCATGTTACAGGAAAATCTGATAACTTAATATACAATGTTGCTATGCCTATTTTATCAAGACAATATTGACCTGCAAATTGAGTTTTCAAATTATACCTTACAAGACAACAAAGACGGTTACCAGAGTGAGGGTTATGTTCTCTCACAGAGTGTTTTTCAGCATAGAAATACCAGTATAGCTAGACCAGCCAACTTTTCTAGCATAGGCAGGGCCTAAGCTAATTGCAGTCAAACACCCATATGAAATTACAAAAGTGAGAACATGTGAGTGTGTGCTTACCGGTTTGGGTCTGCCTTTGGTTTCCACTTGTCTAAACAGATAAGGAAGACATTTGGGACAATGAGGATTTCACCTTTGGTGCCTACCAGCCCACCCTGGCCTCCACCCCCGAGGGCCGACAGTCAAGGCGACAGTCTGTCAGGTGTGTGTACATATATAATATCTGCTGCACTAACCACTGGGTGTGCTGCCTCAAAACCAGGAACTGCCAAAGTCCCAGCGCTCTCCTGTTTGGGTCTCTCTTCCCCATTGCAGGTTTTCAGCAGAAAATATCAATGAACTTAAAATGGACCAACGATCCAAACCGACCACTCCAGCTAACACGAGCCCCATGCGAGGCAGTAAGACTGGAGCTGACTGGCTGGGCTTGAAAGATGAGGACTTTATCGACTTGGAGCCTTCATCTTCAGCCAGAGATGCCACCAAAGATAGTTCTGCAGCAACCCCTTTGAATACACCATTCAGCCCCCCAGCCACCAGGCGGCCCAGCCCAGCTAGCCAGCTCCTTCCTAGGACAAAGTCAGCTGCCGAGGAAGCAGCAGCTAAACCCAGAGCGCTGGAGGAGGAGGAGGATAGCTGGCTGAGTAATGCCTTGTCTCGAAAAAAATCCCAGGTGCAAGGGAAGGTCAAGGAGAAAGGGGCTGGCCCCTCAGGCTCCCTGCAACAGGACGGCAAGGTGGACCCCATCACTGTCACCAGGTAAAGACATGCTGGTGGCCTGCTTTTCAGAGGTGCAGAACTCCTGCAGCTCCCACTGGCTTCACCAGGAGTCGCTAGTGCTCAGCACCCCTGAAAATTGGGCCATTTTTAAGGATCTCACTTTAGGCAGCCAAGTGTGACTATTTTTGTGTACTTGCCCTAGCTACAGAAATAGAATCGGGATAGTAGTGTGGGGCTTTCAGGCCAATGTGTAGTCCAGCCTGTGCTGCCTTTTATTTCAGCTGCAATGAACAACATGCAAGTTGCACTTGTAACTGGGTAAACGCTTCAGTGATTGACTGCTGTAAGTCTGGCTCAGTGATCTAGAAGCTGCCAAGAATTCAAACCAATTCTATTTTCTGCCTTTTTCTGATTCAATAACTCTTGCTGTTCAGTTGTAAGTTACAAGCAAACTCCCTCAACCATTTTTCAGTTATATGAGCCTAGTCACTATGGTAATGTAAGCATAAAAAAATTATTTAAAAAAACAAGGAAATTCCCAGGCAAAATCTTTGTGAACTTAGGGTTAAAGATGAGAAAATATTGGCTATGACTTGTGCTGCCCAAAGCAGAATTGATGGCTAGAAATAGGAAGAGCCCATAGGACAAAAATGAAGTATCTTGGTAGGGTACACTCACAGTTTACTCTTGTGTGCATTTGCTCCTTCAGTCTTTGCAATTAAGGGCACATCTACTCTGCAAAATTAAGTCAACTTAAATTACATTGACATACAGCCACTGCGATAATTAAACAGTTTTGTATGTCCACTGTAGCCTGGCAGCAGTGCACATTCTCACTAGGAGTGCTTGCACCGTTCTAGGGCATGTATAGGGGAAGCCCTGCCACCCAGGGCTGACAGCTGGAACAATCTCATGTAAGCAACACAGCTTCTGCATTGACACTGTCAGACTAAGCGCTACACCTCTTGTGGAGGTGGATTTAAGTCAGCGTAGTGAGCAATTAACATTGGCAGGAACAACATTGTAGTGTAGATGTTTACAGAATTAAGTTGACTTAAACTACCTTACATTGACCTAACTCTGTAGTATAGACCAGGCCTAAGTGTTTCAAACCGAGTGAATGCTGAATATTTCCATAGCTTTTTTAGAAAGAAGAGATGGCTTTTGACTGAAGGGAAACATTTACTGTTTTGGGGTAGAGCTGACACTGGAGGATTGTGGCCCCATTACTGTCAATTTATACTAAGATTCTTTGCTCTTTCCTATACATGACTTGTTTTCAGCCAACCAGCTTCCTCTGCAAAAGAACCTCCGCAATCTGTTGTCCCAGAAGATAAATCCAGCAGGATGGAAGACTCAGGGTATGTCTTAAAAAGTACATGTTTGTTGTCAACTTTTAAAGAAAGCCAAACCATTGAACTGGTGGAAGTTACTGGCTAAGCACATGGAACCAGAGTTTGTTGAAATACTAAACTAGCTTTTGACAGCAGTGTAGCCTCTTCTGCACATGCAGAGAGAGAGCGTATTTTAGGTTATTTGACAAGTTCAGTTTATTTGACAAGTTCAGTTCAATGACTAATTCACTCAGCGTTAAGAAACTTTTAACTTTGGGAGTTGAAAAAACAGAAAACTTGTTTTCTTCTTCCAGTCTATGAATAAAAAGTAGTTGTTGAGACGATGAGATCTGTTAACTGTCTAAATAATTATGGTTCCAAAATCTTGCTGGACGTGGTGACCAGAAACAATCAAATTCACAAAATGCAAATACAGTGTAATACTTGCTTTGCTTAATAAGTGACAGATTAAAGATATACATGCTTTATTTACTGTAAAAACACAGATGAGATGCAACATCTATGGTCTGTTACTCACTTTAGTATTCAAGTACCAAACTGTCTAGTATTAAGATATTGTTGGCGGCTATACTTGATTGCTGAATAATGCTGAAGATTTTTGTAAAGCTCTAAGAACATGTGAATACCAAGTTGTTCCACATTGTTTTTCCATTCAAGACTATCTAGAGGAGGAACATGCTATAAACAGAGGAAAGTGAGAATTCTTTATCTCATCACATTCAGCTAATTGATTTTTCTAAGGTCATTCTGAATTCTAGATCTTCCCTGATACAAAGGAATGCTATATACCAGGGGTGTCCAAACTTTTTTCAAAGAGGGCCAGATTTGATGAAGTGAACATGCGTGAGGGCCGACCATTTTGCCTGACATTCTTTGAACCATTAAAATTAAATGCAAATTAACTATTTTATGCAAAGTTTATTGCAAACGGCATACTTTTCATTTCGTCACATGGATGACAAATCTAAACAGGTGTTAAATCACTCTGCCTTTCATATCTGAAGGCCAGATGAAAAAAAAATCCAGGAAGCTGAAATATATGTCAGGAACATTGTAAAGTACATTACATATTATTGGTAATAAAGGTTGTCTGTCAACTTTTAAGTTCAAAAAATATGAACAGGAACATAACACCAAGTATACATGTTGTGTCCAAATATATTTATAACTGATTTAGACCAACTGACATTAACTGAGATTTTACAATGTATTCATCTCAATACATATGGATTCGTTGGGGGCCATAAAAGATAGATATTGCCAAATTACCTGTGGGGCCGTATTAAACCGGAACACGGGCCGCAATTGGCCCGTGGGCCGGACTTTGGACATGCCTGAATTAGAGTTTGAAATGCAAAATGTGTTGATACACTTTTTCTTACATACTCAGCACTTTTAAGGTCATTTTATTAAATTAAAATCAATGAAAATTCTGGATTTGTGCATTTATTGTTTATTTTTAATTAAATTTAAATTTCTATCCAACTAGAGCTTGATACAAATCACAAGTAAAAAATTAATGATCGTCTAATAAAGAAATGCACCATTAACAGTTTTCTACCTTAAGAAATGTGAAAATTAAGACACTGAATAAATGTAAGATTAAGCTCTATAATTAATTGCTTAATTAAATGTGTACAGATATATTGCATCCTCCTCGTTAGCAGAAAGCAGAAAATACCCCTTTAATCTTTTTCTTTCACCATACCCGCTACTGTGTGGCTATAATGGCATTCCCCTAGTTACTTATTTACCTAATGCATCCCACAGGTATCCTGTTCCGTGGCTAACTACTCAGAAACAAGCCGCAACTCTTACATCTGAGTTCAGGAAAGAGGCACCTTCTGGAGACACCAGCAATGCCGGTATGTTTCACATCCCAAACCAGCCCAGCTGCTGAGGAGGAAACACATACTGGTGACATACGTAGCTAGGTGATCAGTAGCCATAGAGAGACACTGTGAAACCTTGGGGATTCCCAAGTTCTCCTCTCTCCTCCCAGATGGTGAATACAAAGTTGTCTTTTAAAGTCAAATGACCTTGGCATCATTGCCTTTGCAGATGAGATGAAAATCAGGAACAGATGGGCCTAGCAAGGCTTCCAGGCTGTGCATCAAAAAGGTTTCATTACAAAAGCTGAGAAGCCCAAGCATATTTCCTGCTCTGTCTGTAGGGACCTTAGGGCTTGCTCCCCAACTGAACGGCAGATGGAAGTGTGGCTGATCACACATTCTTATTCTCTCTGTCTCAATTCCCTTTTGTCCCTCTATCCCCCTTTCTCTTCCTCTTAGATCTATATCATGGCAGTCCCTTGTCCTACCCCCCTCCTCTGAGAGTGGACAGAGTCCTCTCCAGTTACCGACCAAGAATGCTAGTTTAGTGCCTGGCTTAACTTCTTCCCATCACATGTCTCATGTTAAAGAAGGGCCATGCTTTCCTTGACACTCTAGCAATAGGAAGGATAATTCATCCTCAGCCTTCCTCAGTTGTCTGTGCCCTTCATCCTCCTCTTCCACAGTCCTCTCTCCTTGATGGACTACTTCTCCCCCCAACATTCATCCTCATGCCTTTGCCACTTTGCCTCCTGGTGTTAGCCTTGTAGGTTGTCTACACAGGAATGAAAAACCCATGGCTGACTTGTGCCAGCTGACTTGGACATGTGGGGCTTGGACTGCCAAGCCAGCTCACTGCTGTGTAGACATCTGGGCTCAGGCTGACCCTGCAATGAAACGGCCCCACAGCCTGAGCCTGAGTTAGCTGGCACAGGCCAGCTGCAGGTATGTAGTTGCTGTGTAGATGTATCCTTGTTGTCCTGCCCACCTGGTCACACATCATCCAGTGCCAGGACACAGGGCCATAGGCAACTGTGAGTCATTGGTACTCCTATCTCAGTGCCAGCTGTTACAGAGCACTGCCCCCTGTTGGCTTGTATTTGTAACTTTTTTTTCTATGGAATATACAGTAGAATCTCAGAATTACAAACACCTCAGCAGTAGAGTATGTTCGTAACTCTGAACAAAACATGGTTCTTTCAAGAGTTTACAACTGAGCATTGACTTAATACAGCTTTGAAACTTTACGATGCAGAAGAAAAATGTGGCTCTTAACCACCTTAATTTAAATGAAATAAGTGCAAGAAACAGTTTCCTTACCTTGACAGATCTTTAGACTTTCTCTTTATTTTTTAGTAAACTTTCACTTTATTTTTGAACACAGTACTTTACTGTATTTCATTTTTTATCGCTGCTGCTGCTGCTCAATTATGTATGTCAAGCTCCAAATGAGTTGACTGGTCAGTTTGTAATTCTGATATTTGTAACTTTGAGGTTCTGCTCTATTAAAAGAGATTGGGCATTACGCAGTCTGGAAGTAGCAGACACTGGTCTCAGTGAGGTGTCAAAGAGATGACATCACAGCCAATGAGGGTGGAAGGTATTTCCTATTTGGGGGTCAGAGATGTTGGGTTGGAGCCGGGAAGGAGCACACAGTGTGATGGGCTCAAAGCAAATGCATGTGGTCAGTTGTGTGACTTAAGAGCAGCAGTGCTGACGTGGGAGCTAGATGCTGGTGAGGTGCTGGGACCCTTTCTTTTGATGCAGGGAGAGGGCTGGCACGTCACAGAGGTAATGCAGTGGGCTTCCGCATAGAGGGTGATGTTGTCCTCTTTCCAGCTGATTCACATTCACCTGAGGTCAGTAATCTGCCTCTGAAGGGTGGGTACCATGATGAGGCTGGCCTACCAAGATGGAGTCAAGGGGATGCAGAAATGATGGCCCTTGGGTTGGTAGGTGAGAGCTGACCCTACCAGGTCTTGCACTGCATGCCTGTGTCCCTGGAAGCAAATAGTATTTCCCAGAAGTGTGGAAATTTCCTTGGGTGTCCTAGTGACTTTTTGAGGGTGGGGGGTATGGATAAAAATCAGGCCAATGCTGCTTATCTAGCACTTAACCATGTGTCAGTCCATATGCCTGGAGTAGAAATCTACCCCAGTCAGCTCCATGGAATAATTCATTTCTGGATGCCCTGTGGGCAGGGATGCAGCAAGGGGTGAATGTGCATAAAGCATTCAAGGAGGCACTTGGGGGGTGTACGGGTTTCATTAAAGATGCATCTTTCTTTAGTGTCCAGAGGATTTTCCAGCTCCTCATGGCTCCACTCTGACCATGTGTTCTGGAGTACCTAGTCCCACTGCCTCGGTGGCTGGAGCTCTTACGACACTAAACTGTCCTACTCATGCTGAAGCAGCACACCTGTGGTTAGATAGGGAAGAGCTGCATTTATATCTGTCCGGCTTCCAATGCTGCTGTTTTCACTGCTCATTATACTGAAAATGCCTAAGTCCACTGCCATGTCTGAGTGTTAAATGTGTTGAATATTCAGCTCCCGCAGCTTCTCTCCAAGGACACCCAGAAGTTCTGAGGCCTTCCACACTAACTCAGGTAGGTGTGAGATGCTACTGCGCTGATCATGGTATATTGGGGATAGTACTCCTCTAGCTGTACAGTCATTTTTCAGTGGCTGAAACACAGGAGTAGAAGTAGGAAACAGGAGTCTGGGTTCCGCTGCCCACTCTCTCACTGATTGTCTGTGCACTGTGACCTCAGACAAGGCACATTATATATATTCTACATGAGGAGAAGGGGGAAAAAACACATCCCTGCTTCCTTTCCAGGAGTCCTGTGGGGTTTAAATTAGTGATTATGTAAGCGGGGGAATGGTCCCGCTCTTGTGGGGAACTTTCCTGGCTTCTATACACCCCGGTGAAATGAACCAGCGAAAGGATCTGAGTCCCCGCTCCCACTTCCTTTACCCCACGGCTCCCTGATCCTGAGGGCTCCCCCTCCACTCTCCTGAGTAGCAGAGCCCTTGAAACCCCAACAAGGCTGGGCCCAGGTTTCCTGGGGCTTAATCCCTGACCTTGTAGTCACTAGGGGCAGGAGTTAGGGTGTCCCCACTCCGAGGTGCTCTCTTTACACTGCAGGCCTTCTTGGCCCAGTGATCACTTCATAAGGTTCAAAGCAAATACAATTTATTAAACATCAACTGATTAAAGAGAATAGAATAAGAAACAATGAGAATGGTTAAATGGGAACACACAGCCCTGCTCTGTAGCACAGGGACATCAAAACAGCAGTCTGCAGAGTGTAAGGACAGTTCACAGTCTCTTCCTTAGAAGCCCTGGATGTGCTGCAAGGGGCTGCAGGCTGGACACGCTTGCACTGGCAGTGACCACACAGCCTCAGTCTCTAAGTGGCCAGACCCCTCTCCCAGTCCAGAGCCTTTCCCCACACTTTGCAGGTCCCAGTAGCTCACCACATCCAGCTGCAGGCTGTGCTGCTTGGCCAGTTCCAGCTCCTTGTGTTGTTTCTCTGTTCCTTTTGGCTTTCTGAGCACTGCCAGTCTGCTGCTCAACACAGGGTCTGCACTGCTTGGCCTGTCTGTGTCGGGGTCTGTCGCTGCAGGACTTCTTCTTGTACTCCTCTTTCAGCTCTCTGTCTTTGCAGGACCTCTTCTGCACACAGCTTGTTTGTTCAGAGACAGAGCCAGAACAATCCCCACTTACAACCTGTCAGTCAGGCTGAGCTGGAGTGTTGACTGCTTTCCATTGTCTCTGGGGTCTGTCAGTCTCATGAACCCTTCCCCTTCTGAAGCTGGTAAACCAAAAAACTCCCACAGAGTTTTAGTAAGGGGTAACAGTCCCCTTACATTTACAAAATGCTTTGAGGTCGTTGACTGGAAGTGCTCAGTAATACATATGGGTATGTCTACACTACCACCCTAGTTCGAACTAGGGTGGTAATGTAGTCAACTGGAGTTGCAAATGAAGCCCGGGATTTGAATTATTTCACTGCAGGTTGCCATGTCTGGGGCTCCTCTCCCGCAGGTTTTACTGCAGCAGCAGGTGAGGACAGAACGTGACTTTTCCAGAGGCGGATCCTGCGTCTGGCTGGGCTAACAGGGTGCTTCTGCCACTCTTCATTCTAAAAGGGCTTGTTTGTCTCCCTCTGCCCCTCCCTGCTCTCCTCTGGAAGCTCCTGCAGGCTGAGCCCCTGGCACTGAGCTTGCTGAATGCCGGCGAGAACGAGAAGAGGCTGGCAGCTTTGCAGGCACAGCTGAGGGAGAATGTGGCTGGGCACCAGGTGGAGCTGCTGAGTGCCCAGACTCGACTCACGGAGCTGGAGAGCCAGGTGAGGGGCTCAGCCTGCTGGGCTGAGGGCAGAGGCAAGATTGGTCTCTCAGTAGTCATACTAGTCTTTTCATTGGTGCCAAGCTAGGAGTGGTTGAACTGGGCTGTGATAGTGTGACAGCGCATTGGGGTTCCCCGTCTCCTGCACCCCGAAATGGCACAAACAGACTGCACCAGCCAGTGGAATTGAGGGTGGTTTATTGCTCCTCCAGCACAGCGCAGCACAGATGTAATCTGGTTACAGGAACTGGGGCTAAGAGGCCTCAGTGCCCCCCCTTGAGATAGGGGAGTCCCAGCCCCCTCCCCAGCTCCTTATTCCCTGCCTTCCACACAGGAACTAACTAACCCTCTTCCAGCCCTGCCCCCCAGCCAGGGCAGCATCCACCTCCCTTTGTTCCTCTCCATGGGGGGTGTCTGGCCACTGGTTCAACAAGTTTGGCATTACCTCTGCCTAGTGAGGCTTTCCCTGCTGGGTCTTGCTCCAGACAGCAGGGGTCACCACATCCCAGCAAGTACCCCCACTACGTCACAGATAGTAAGTTAGGAAGGAAATACCAGGGCTCCAAAAGGCAGCAGGATTAGAGGTGCCAGAAACATGGTTTATGCCTGCCCAGAGGGAGGAATTGGGCAGGTAACAGAGATGGTACAGTCTGTGCAGGGTTGCAGGGAGGGAGTCTAGCCACCAAACACAACCTCAAAACTCCTGCTTTCTGTGAAGAGCTGCTGGCTGCTACCCATGACTTATCCCTGCACTAAAGGTGAACGCTGACATTTTCCATGTGCACTGTTTTGCTCTTGAGGGGGCCTGACTGCAGGCCAGCTGACATCCCCCAGGGTACAGTCTGGACTGTTGAACAACTGTGTCCCTTTAACTCTTCAGCCTAGGGTACCTTTTACACTGCTTTGCTAGTGATAAGAAGCCTCTCCTGGCTCTGCTCACACATAGTCATTAGCATGAATGCCCTGCCAGCCACTCACTAACTATAAACAGGGCAAATTCCCTAACCCTGTACCTCAGAATGTGTGTCCTGCACTGCTCAGGATCTCACCCCTAAACTGTGTAGTTCATTAAAAGTCTGTCATTCCATCAAAGGGAATGATTGTGCACCAGCCTTTCTTAACCTGCGTGGACATTCACCAAACACTTCAGTCCAGACTTGCTGGTTTGGATAAAAGAATAAAGCACACTTATTAGAGCCCACATATATACACCAGCAACACCATCACAGGACCTAACCAGATCAGCCATACTGTCACTGGTACATTCTCCTGCACATCCACCAACGTAATATATGCCATCATGTGCCAACAATGCCCCACTGCTATATACATCGGCCAAACAGGACAGTCCCTACGTAAAAGAATCAATGGACACAAATCTGATATTAGGAATGGCAACATACAAAAACCTGTAGGGGAACACTTCAATCTTCCTGGACACACAATTGCAGATCTAAAAGTAGCTATCCTGCAGCAAAAAAACTTCAGGACCAGACTTCAAAGAGAAACTGCTGAGCTACAGTTCATCTTTAAGTTTGACACAATCAACTCTGGATTAAACAAAGACTGTGAATGGCTTGCTAACTACAAAAGCAGCTTCTATTCTCTTGGAATTCACACCTCCAGATCAGCTGCTAGAAGTGGGCCTCATCCTCCTTGATTGGATCCACCTGGTCATCTCCAGCCTGATCCTGGCCTGCATATTTATTCCTGCCTCTGGAAATTTCCACTACATGCATCTGACGAAGTGGGTCTTTGCCCACGAAAGCTTATGCTCCTACACTTCAGTTAGTCTATAAGGTGCCACAGGACTCCTCGTCGCTTTTGCAGATTCAGACTAACACGGCTACCCCTCTGTTATTAGATAAAGACAGATTGATTTTAAGTGACTATAAGTGGAATAGGCATAAAAGTTGCAATTGGTTATAAAAGAAACATGCAAGCTATTTCCTGACTTAAATATTACCAAGCTAGCTAAGATTTGAAAGCAGAAGGATTTCTGTCACCCTAAATTTCCAGCAGTCCATGAAAAGTTTTCCGTGTAGGACCACTCCTCCCAATTCAGTGATGGTTCTTTGTCTTACCAATGATCTTGCTGCTGTGAGTAGAGATGCAGCAGGAGAGGTGGCCTGAGGCCTTTTCCCCTTTGTTCTTATATCCTGATGGTTTTCCTTGGAGAGTCCTTGTTGGGATATGGACTCATGCTTTTCTGTTGTGTACAGGCCCTGCCAGCTGTCCTTCAAGTGAACTATAAATACTTTACAACTCCTCTGCTCAGCTTTCCCTATATAAGTTCAGGAGAGTTTCATATGCCGCCCCGCTGATTAGCAGAGCTCCTACAGCTGGGTTTTTGTTTCTTCTGGTGGTACACATTCGTACTTGCCTCCAGGCACATAAAAATATATTCCATACATGGATGGAAAAAATTCACAGATGAATGGAAAAGTTTAGAGGGAACATTGCCCTTGCTGTTTCCAGTTGAATAAGTAATGGTCTTTTAGCACCCAGCTGGCATACCAGTTTGCCTTTGTATTTGAGAATACAGACTGTTTTCTGGAGCAGGCATAGGTCAGGTGTTGTCATGCTGCTTATGAATGTGATGGTTTCAAGGAGGAACTGTTCCCATTATGTAGCATTCAACTGGCACCAACAACTACAGTACCCACTTACCCAGAACTACAATCTGTTTCAGTAACTATCATAAGTCTAGAATCCATATGCAATATTGATACACACATTTTAGCATGACAATGATGTGCAGTAGATTATGGGTTTTCACATGATAACCTCATAAGGCATACTTTGTACAAAATATATTATGATCCTAAAGACGTGGTGACCCTGGGCACCCCCATCCAAGATGGGTTTTCTTTAGCCCATCTTCATGACTTTCCCAATCAGGTGCGGAAGCTGGAGCTGGAGAGGAATCAGCAGAAGCTGCTCCTGGACAGTTTACAGCAGCATCATCAGGAAGACTTGGAGCTCATTGAAAATGCACACAGGTATTGTGGGTTTGCACCCCAGGCACATGCACACCAGAGACATGCAGTTCATCCCCATGCTCAGGGTTCTGCCTGATCCACAGCGTATCTGGGGTGTGTACTTGGCTCAGTGTACAGTTGAAGCAGAGGACTTCTAGGGTATGTCTAAACTACATGGCTCCGTCGACGGAGTCATGTAGGTTAGTTTACTCGGCAAAGGGAAATGAAGCGGTGATTTAAATAATCGCCGCTTCATTTAAATAAAAATGGCCACCGCATTGTGCCGATCAGCTGATTGTCTGCTCAGCGCGGCAGTCTAGACGGGGATCTGCCGACGAAGCATAAAAGAAACAAAAGAAACATGCAAGAGGAAACAAAAAGATCAACAAAAAGAAACAAGATCACGAGGCATAAAGGATCTGCCGACGAAGGGTTCTGAGGTTGGCAGATCCCCGTCTAGACTGCCGTGCTGAGCCGACAATCAGCTGATCGACACAGCGCGGCAGCCATTTTTATTTAAATGAAGCAGCAATTATTTAAATCGCCGCTTCATTTCCCTTTGCCCTCCTGCCTAATCTAAATGGCTCCCTCGACGGAGCCATGTAGTTTAGACACACCCCTGGGTTGCTGACATGCTGTGTGACTTTGGGCATGACACTTCAGTGCTCTGTGCTTCAGTTTCCCAATCTGTAAAAGGGGATTGGGCCCCCTTTGGGAAGTGCTTTATGATCTATCGATGAAAAGTTCTATCAACTGTTTAGACAGAAATATAAAGAGCTTTTAACCAGTAGCCGACACCAACATTTAGGATCCTGCATTTGAAAACTGGCCCATCAGCATCATAGTTCCGATCGTAAGTGCCCATCAACAGCCCAGCTCAGCAGGCACCGTGCAAACAGCTCCCTGTCTCCCTGTGGGCAGGAGCCGTGTGAAGGTGATTGAGGAATCTTCCCGGCAGCGCGAGGCGAGATTGCGGCAGGAGAATGAGGAACTGGCAGCGCAGTACCTGGCCCACTGCCAAAGCGCAGAGCAGGCCAAGTCTGAGCTCCTGGCCCAGCAGCAGTGCAGGCTGGCAGAGCTGGAGCAGGAGAAGGCCCAGGAGGTGGCGAGGCTGCGGGAGCTGCAACGGTAAGAAGGGCCATGGGAGGGGCAGCCAACTTGGCTGGAGGTCTGGGCTCCAACATTATTCCCCTCCCAAAGGGGGCAGTGCTCTTGGAAAGACATTGAATCTGTAAGCAAGCAGGAAAATGGGCTCAGCTGGGATTGTGATGTCAGGACAAGTCGGGCTAGTACAGTGGAGTGAAGAATTACCCCAGGCCTGATGGGAAGAGAGTAAAGGCTTGTCCTGATCTCCGAGTTGTGCAGCTAACCAGGAGCATTTGCATCTGCTTGTGAGGAGACCGAGCTACTCTGATCAGCAGGCTCCTGAACACGGCTCCACCTTGGCCACATCACCTGAGGCAGGCACTCATGGGGCTGTCACTGCACAGGGACTTCACCAACGTAGGGTCCTTTGGGATGCCCAGACATTATTCGCCCCCTTCCACTTGTGCCTGGGTAAGAGTTAGCTCATTGCTAGAGGAAACCTGCTATCACCACAGACTTATCCAGTGACCATCCACCAGGGCCGGCCTTAGGTCGAATCGGGCCCCACACCTAAGGGGGCCCTGTGCCCCTGCACCCAGAAGTGCCAGCCCGCCGGGGTCAACGTTACAATTCAGAGCCGGGGTCCCTGCTGCATCACTATGTGGAGCTGGGTCTCTCCACCAGCTTTACCTGGAGCGGGCCCCGGCCCCGGCCCGTGCGTGGCTCTGGGCGGCTTCCCTTCGCCGCCTGCTGCTGCCCATGCACAACATTGCAGGTGGGTGGGGCCCGGGCGGGGCGTGATGTGACATCACGCCCGGGATTTTCAAAGTGCCCGGAGGCAGGCTCCGACCCTGCAACGTGGAAGGTAGGGAAGGGGCTTGTGCAGCGGGGGAGGGGCTGGGGAAGAGGCTTGTGGAGCGGGGAAGGGGAAGAAAGGGGAAGGCACCAAGAGACAAATGGCAGGGGGCCATGTACACTGCAGACAATGAGGGAAAGGGCAGGAGGGGAGGTGTCAGTGGGAAGGGGGACAGGGTGAGGAGAGGAGAGGGGAAAGGCATTGGGGACTAGAGGGGGAGGTGCTGGGAGAAGGCTTGAAAGAAGGGGTGGGCATGAGAAAGGTGGGGATGGAGCAAGGCATGTGTGAGGGCACAGGGGCATGAGGGGAACGGGGGGCAGAGGGTGGTGAGACAGGAAGGGGCTTGAGTGGAGGGGGAAGGGGAAGAAAGGGGAAGGTACCAAGAGATGGAGTGGAGGAGAGACAAATGCCAGGGGGCCAAGTGCAGAAAATGAGGAAAAGGGCAGGAGGGGAGGTGTCAGTGGGAGGGGGGACAGGGTGATGCTGAGAAAGGAGAGGAGAGGGGAAGGGCATTGGGCACTAGAGGGGGGAGGGGAAGGTGCTGGGAGAAGGCTTGAAAGAAGGGGTGGACATGAGAAAGGTGGGGATGGAGCAAGTCATGTGTGAGGACACAGAGGGGCAGGAGGGGAACAGGGCAGAGAGTGATGAGAGGGTGGGCATCAGGGAAAAAGGTCAAAGGGGGCAGTGGCAGTAAGGGAAGGGGGAGGCACCAGGAGGGTGCAGGGCTAAGGGAAGGTGCAGGTGCCAGGGGTTTCTCGGGTGAAGCAGAAGGGCAGACACTTGCAGGGAAGGGACCAGCACCAGAGGAGAGAGGCAGGGCAGGTGTGTAGATGGAGGTGTTGGAAGAGAGAATGAGGAGGCATAGCTCACTTGATCAGAGTGGGGCTACTGGGGGAATGGGCACGGGAGGAAGTGAAGGGCAGGAGGAGGGGGGCAGGTCGCAGGAGGGCTGAGGGCGGTGAGAAGGGCAGGAGTCAGGACAGCAGAGGAGGGTGAGGAGTTGGGGGGCAGCAGGCACCAGGGGAGCTGATGGAGCAAGGAGGTTTAAAAATATTTATTATTAACGTGGTATGCTGCCCACGGCCAGTTTGTTTACGCCCCACGGAGCAGTTTGGGTTTATGTGGGGATCAACACATGGCTAGCGAGTGGGAGCCAAAACCAAAAAGTAGTCAGTGTAATGATCTTCTGTTGATATGTGTTTTAATAGTTAAATTCTTGGACTGTCATTGCTCATGAAAAGTGTTGTCACATCGGTAGAAATTGGGTAAATATTGTGTATTATTAATATCAGCAGAACTGACTTAAATGGGGCCTGTATGTTGTGTTGTATAGTCTTGCCTTAATCTTTATATTCATGCCTGTTGGTGTGAGAGAAGCTATTTGTATATATTTGCTTGCATATGCAACCACGCTTAATTTGAGGCCCTCAGCATGTTCTGTAAGTATCAGTGTGGCCCCTGGGGCTTCCAAAGTTGAATTGCCCTAGCTCATCCCTGACCAGTGTCTGTCTCACCTGGTCTTAAATAATGATAGAAATGTAGCCGTGTTAGTCTGGTGTAGCTGAAACAAAATACAGGACTATGTAGCACTTTAAAGACTAACAAGATGGTTTATTAAATGATTATTAGATGATTTATTAGTTCATCATCTAATAAACCATCTTGTTAGTCTTTAAAGTGCTACATAGTCCTGTATTTTGTTTCTGGTCTTAAATATCTGCAGTTTAAGCCCATTGCTTCTCATCTTAACCTCAGAGGCCAAGCAGAACAATTTTTCTTCCTCGTCCTTGTGATACTCTTTTAGATACTTGAAAGCTGCTCTCATGTCCCTTTTTGGTCTTCTCTTTTCCAAGGTAAACAAGGCGAATTTCTTCAGCCTTGCCTCATATTTCATGTTCTCTAGACCTTTCATCATTTGTGTTGATCTTCTCTGGAGTTTCTCCACATTTCCAGCTGAGGGGCACCCAGAACTGGACATGATACTCCAACTGGGGCCTAATGTAGATGGCTCATTCCCTGCCTAGGGGACGTGAGACTGGGAGGGTTAATTTTCCAATCCTCCTGTTTATTCTTTTCCTAAGCCAGGAGGGCACCGTAGTTCTGATGGGGGGCTCTGCAGGAAGGCTGCCCGCACTGCCCCTGCCTGAAACCTTGTGCAGGTGTTAAACAGCTGTCCAGCCCACCCTAGAGGTGACTGCATTTCAGCTTTTAGATACTTGAAAGCTGCTCTCATGTCCCTGTTCGATCTTCTATTTTCCAACGTAACAAGGCCAATTTCTTCAGCCTTGCCTCATATCTCATGTTCTCTAGGCCTTTCATCATTTGTGTTGATTTTCTCTGGACTTTCTCTAGTTTCTCCACATTTCCTGAAATGTGATGCCCAGAACTGGACATGATATTTCAGCTGGGGCCTAATGTAGATGGCTCATTTCCTGCCTAGGGGATGTGAGACTGGGTGGGTTAATTTCCAATCCTCCTAACTTAGGAAAAGAATAAATAGGAGGGCATAGTAGTTCAGATGGGGGTTGGAGAGGGGATGGAAGCCCGATCCAAGATCATTGAGCCCTGGGAAGTGGGCCCATTGAAAGGAGACTGGACCTGTGGATACCTTGGGGGTCTGCAACAAGGGCCTGCTTTGGGAAGCCCCCTCTTTGGAGGTGAATGTGGCAGCATTGAGACACCACCCAAAAGCAGGCACCACAGACACTAACTGCAGATTCATGGGACTGCTCTCACGGATCTTGCACATGCATAAGATGATAGATCTGTGGGAGGGGGGGCAATGGCATAGTGAGGGGGCCGGAGTGGTCAGTTGCCCCTGGGAGAAAATAATATAAAATGGATCAAAATTATAGGTGCTTTGTGAATATGCTGACTTGAGAGTGGAAAGATTTCATATTGTCATGTATGATTCCTGGTAACCCATCTCAAATATGAAAAACTAGGTTTATACCTGTTCATATCAGGAGCTGTTGAATTCAATTCACCATTTGCAGTATCTCATTAGGATGTTTAGTGGAGATGTTTTGTTTTGTTTTTTATTTATACTGTGGGCAAAGCATAGGCTCACAAGAATTCCTCCATTGTTTTACCATGAGTCTCAAAACATTTGGTGTTTTTCTAAAGGCCTGGAGTCAGTTGATTATGTAGGAATCTCAGCTTTCATTTAAAAGTGTTCTCTATACTTCTGGGCCTTACAGCTAAGGAGGAAAGCTTTAAAACATGAACCCTAAATACTCAAACAAAAGGCCAATAAAAATCCAACATGTTTTATTTTTAAAATATCTTATGATTTGTAGACCATTCTTATAACTTTGTGTAAGTGTTCTGTGATTTTTGGTTTGGCAATACTGCTCTTTGATTGGTAAATTTAGAGAGGTCTCTCCCTTCCGTTTCCCTTTCCACCCTCCTTTTTTGTCACAGGTCATCAGAGAATCATAGAGACAATGGAGTCCATGACTATGGTTAATGACTGGTCAGGGTGACTAACTATTATCTGCCAGTGGTCTGAATGAGCTATCTACTGCCATCTGTTAATTAACTGTAGGAAAAGGCTTCACGAGCAGACCTTATTTATATAGACAACTTACTTTGCCACAGAGATCAGTAGACACACTTGCTGTGTCAAGGTGATCAATTTTGGCTCTTTTGGGTTGAAATTCACTTAAGACTTGGAGCTGGGAGAATGAAATGTTGTTATCCATACTGTATGGTTAAAAGGTTAAAGACCTGAACCTAATATAACCTGGCTTAGGGTCTACCATAACTTGAACACTAAGCGAAGGGTAGTGAGTCACATCTAACAAAGTCACAGAAGATGGAAACAGGTTTTATTTCTGGTGGTGTAGAGTCTATTTGGGAGTCCTCAATTATATCTGACACTTTACATCCAGTGTTTAAAGGCAGAGCTGACTAGAATCAATTGAGAGTCCTTGTCTTGTCTCAGTGATCGCTTGAGAAAAAATCATTGATAAAATCTTGTCTAGACTGACCTTGGATTCAACATGCAGTCAATGTGTTGAAGGGCAGTGCAAGGAGGTAATGGTGGTCGGTGAGATACCATATTACCTAGTGCAGTAGTCCCCAAACTTTTTTTGCATAATAAAGGATGGCATTTTTTTTTGAAAATGTTCAACTACATTTTGATCAGATGTACTTCTGATGTGATATTTGTGTGTGGTTGTGGTTTGTTGTGTGGGTGCATGTTTTGGTTGTGGTGGTTTTTTTTGCTCAACAAAAAATCCTGGGTGGGGGAGAGAGGGTCAACTGATTTAATTTTGTGTAAAATTTTGCATAATAAAGGATGGCATTTTTTTTTGAAAATGTTCAACTACATTTTGATCAGATGTACTTCTGATGTGATATTTGTGTGTGGTTGTGGTTTGTTGTGTGGGTGCATGTTTTGGTTGTGGTGGTTTTTTTTGCTCAACAAAAAATCCTGGGTGGGGGAGAGAGGGTCCCGCCAAAGTGGTTCGAATTGGGCCCCGCACTTCCTAAAGCCGGCCCTGCCATCCACAGTCCCTCTGGCCTGCAGCAAGGGGGCCAAGATCAGCTGGCTGCTCCCATTCAGCTCTCACTGTGTGTTTCTCTGGGCTCTTGCTGTGGCAATGAAAACCATGTGTCTGAGTACAAGTGTGGCACGTGCTCTAGGGAACTTATGTAACTAGATGTGATTAACAGGGTCATCCCCTCTGGATCTCACAGGCTGTCCATTCAGGAGATGCGCAAAGATCATGAAGAGCAGCTACAGAGGCTGAAACGACTGAAAGATCAGGAGATTGACGCGGTAACCAGTGCCACCTCCCATACCAGGTACTGGCTGCCTCCCAGAACAGCCTCCTTCCCTTGGGCCTTCAGCTGTTGCATTTCCCTTCCTGTAGACTGGGGTTCTCAAACTCCTGGCCCGCAGGCCAATCCCAGCTGGAGCAGTTGCACAGTCTGGCGTGGGACTTCTGGTGGAGAATATGTGTACTGTCCCTTACTGGCCCGCAAGCTCTGCTCTTTCCCATCATTGCTCTGCCCTCTTCCTCCCCATAGCATCCGGTCCCGGTCCCCTGAGCATGTGGCTTTGGGGATCATTGGGGAGGACCTAGCACCATGTTGTGGCAGCCATCTCACCCATCCTCACTCTCCACAACAACAGGGGTTGCAGAGGAAGCAGGGTGCAGTCGCTCCACGTTCCACTCAGGAGCGGGTTAGGCCTCCCCAGGGATCCCCAAAGTCGTGTGCTCGGGACAAAGGTGCCATGGGGGAGGGGGTAATGGCAGGAAGGAGCCAGTAATGGCCTGCCCACCCACCCGGAGTCCTGGGCTGGATTGTGCAATTGCTTTGGCCAGGACGGAGTTTGCGCAGTAGTGGACTGGAAGTTTGGGACTCCTGCTGTAGTGCTGGAGTTTGGTTCCTTTTCTGGTTCTGAAGGAGAAAAACAAGCAGCTGAGAGGGTTGCTTCTTCCCTGCAGGGCTCAGAGAGTCTCTGAAAAACAGAGCTGCTACGGGGCTGAGATGGTCCATAAACCCGGCATGCCTCCATGAAACGTCTGGGGAAAAGTCACACGCACCCAGCTTAGCGGGTGACAGGGGTCCCTTCTGGCCCTGCAATCCATGGGAGCAGTCCCCAGATGCAGAACTGGTGTGTTGGGCAAGGGAGAACCCCAGACACTGGTGATGTCTGCACAGAAGCCACTAGCTCAGCAAGTAAATTGCCCTCACGAGCTCTGTCAGTCAATAAATGAGCTTTGTTTAGAGGCCTCTGCATTGCCCTGAGAAAAAGCATCTCCTGTCCTGTCCTCCACCAAAGGGAGGGGTTACCTGACCAGGAGAGGTTCAGGTCAGAGCTATCGTACCCGCCCAAGCTCCTAGGCAAAGCGGTTCATATTCACTGCCCGAGGAGCCTGCTGCGTGGCCACCCCTTGCCCTGGAGTTGGGCCAGAATCGGAAGCTTTGGTTTGACATAAATCTTTCCAGCCCCTCATCACATGACGATAATGTTAAAAACAGGAGCCCAGTGGGAATGGATGACCCCATCTTTTCCTCCTCCAGGTCTCTGAATGGTGTCATTGAGCAGATGGAGAAGTTTTCCAGTAACCTGAACGACCTCTCCTACAAAGTGGAGGCTACTCACCACAACACATCACAGGAGCTCGAGATTGGAGCCCGTCAACGGGACGAACAGCTCAGGGGTACCTGCTTTTTCTTTTGTCTAGCAGCGGTGGTCATGGTTATTTATTACAGTGGCAGCTAGGGGCCCTAACCTCACTCAGAGCTCCACTGTACGCACATAGTCACTGCCCCAAAGAACTTACGGTGCAGAAGGAGACATTGTATATTGAGAAGCATCTAGGAACCTTAGTCATAGACCAGGTTCCATTATGTTAGGCACTGTGCAAACAAAGAGCAAGTGGATCTCTTCCCCCCATTTTATACACAGGGAGCTGAGGCACACAGAGGGTATATGTCTACACTACAAAGTTAGTTCGAACTAACGGATGTTAGTTCGAACTAACTTTCATAGGCGCTACACTAGCGCTCCGTTAGTTCGAATTTAAATCGAACTAGCGGAGCGCTTAGTTCGAACTAGGAAAACCTCATTTTACGAGGATTAAGCCTAGTTCGAATTAGCTAGTTCGAATTAAGGGGTGTGTAGCCCCTTAATTCGAACTAGTGGGAGGCTAGCCCTCCCCAGGTTTCCCTGGTGGCCACTCTGGCCAACACCAGGGAAACTCTATGCCCCCCTCC